ACACAGAAAGACTGCGGGTCAGAATTTCAGATCCATGTGCGGGTTAACGACACAAAAAAAAATAAAATAAAATAAAATAAAAAAATGAAAACATAAACCAAAAAAAAAGGTGCGTGTGTGTCCACCAAAACTTGTCCTGGCCTCAGCCTGGCCTCGCCTTATTTCGAGTTAGTTTGTGCCCTTGACATCGTGGCCGGCGGCAGCAGCAGCTAAGAGAGCAACAACAAAACCAAGCACATGCTACACATTTTTTAACAGGACACTAAGCGCGACAGCTGCCAGGAGAGCTGTTTAAAGGCCAACGACAACAGCTATGAAATTTATTGAGCGGCTAAAAGATGGAGCAGGTGGCAGCAATACGCGGCAGAAGCCAAGGATGAGCCAGAAACACTCCATGCAAATTAAAGGCATTAGCCGAAAGTTAAAGGGACATCTTTGAAATGCCATTATGCGACGAATAATAATGATTAAAAGAAACTTATGATATAAGAGCCGGCATCTTGAATACAAAAATATTTGCGGCTTGCATTATTTGCAATTCGAATTTAAAAAGTAATTTTAATGCTCCTAGATTGAAGCTGCTATTTATAAAAAAATAAATAAACCGATATTTGTCTTTAAAAAAATTAAATACAGTTTGTCGGATTCGTTCGTAATAGATACAGATGCCAATTCAAATACATATGTCAGTGGGCAGATACAGATGCTTAGTTGGGCAAAGCAGTTGACAACTGTCGTTATCCCTTTTATATTGCCTTCAATCTACCATTCATACCTTTTTTTCGCCCACTCAAATATCTTAAAATGTGGCATACATTACAACGCGTTGTCTCTCTTTAATGTGTGTGTGTGTGTGTGTGTGTGTGTGTGTGTGTGTGTGTGTGCACGTGTGTGTGTGCATACAATCATCGTGACAAAGTTGAGACATTAGCAGACAGAAATTGCAGCATATATTTTCTCTGATTTGCCTGTCCCTCGGTTGGTGTTGTTGGTGTTGTTGTTGTTGTTGTTGCTGTTGTTGCTGTTGTTGCTGTTGTTGCTGTTTTTGCTATTGTTGTCAATATTGCTGTTTCTTTTGTTGTTGCTTTTGTTGCTTTGTATGATTTTGCGGCTCATTTGCTTTTATTAAAATTTGCACGTTTTTCACGCTTATCAAACGACACACCGCCCAAGCAGGGCCTGAACTTAAGGCTTTGATTGTGCGTAACCAGCGTCGCCAGCACCCACACATACGCCCCCTACCCCACACTCGCATTGCCACCCTCATGCCGCCTGTGTGTGCGAGGTTTACGTTATGCTAATTTCAGAACAGAAATGAATAAATGTCTTTCGTTTCTTTGACTTTGCGCCGTTTTTGCCTTTGCTTTTATTATTGTTATGTAAATTTTTATAGTTTCCCCATCATTTAGTTGCCCTCACCCCCACCCTCACCCTCGCACATAAACAGCCACACACACACACATACGCACACACAATGTCCTAAACGCTTTTTCAATTCTGGTTTGCAGCAGGAGCTGGCTGCGGTGTGGGCCTATGTGGTCTGTGGCTGCTGTTTCCGTCCGTTCGTCGCTTAGCTTTTGAAGTAGAAAATTTAATTTTCATACAGACACTCGCTCACAAACACACACTCACACACACAAAGACACACAATCACAAATGCATATATTACGGAGCGCGCGCTCAAATGTAGGCAATGAAATTTCCGCTTTGCAATCCCTTTTGGCTTCCCAGACTTGACGTCGGCTGCGACGTCGACGGCGACAGCGGCGGCTTGGTGTGGCAACCTTTTGTCTGTCATTTGTTCTAAAAATTGTATGCAATAAATAAAAATTACACGTTCAACAATTTTTATCTCGCTTTTGTGATCTGCGCCGGCAACAATGGCATTCAGGCCGCCACATCCGGCAGCCCCAGTACCCGCTCGACCCTTTGGCTGCCAATCTAATTGGATATGTTTGGAGCGTTGTCGTCTTGGCTTCAGCTTTTGGCCAGCCAACTTTTGCCATTTGGGTATGACTCTGCTTCTCCTGCTGCAACGATTTCTTTTTAACCAACAAATTTCTTAATAGAAGACGGGGACGAACAACTTCAATTAGAAAGAAGCAACCGAAAAATAAGAGAAAAAACACAGCCTACAAAATAAGGATGATAAAAAAAGGCAGAGCAAAAAATGAAAAGAAGCTGCAAAATGTCGCTGGCAACTCTTTAGTATGCGTCCTGAAGCTAAAGCTTATGCTGAAGCTGGAGCTGGAGCTGTATAGAAAAGCGGCCGCCCTGGCGGGCAATCAGAACTTATGTTTACCCCAATTAAGGTGAACACGAGACCGTTTTTGCGATCCAATGAGTTAGAAACAAGATAAAGGACTAAAAGCCATACAAACGGCAACAATAAACCGGCCCTGGTCCTGGTCCTGGCCTAGTCCTGCACCCGTTTCCGTTACCGTTCCCGTAGCCCGTGGCCCTTACCCCAAGCGCAGACCCGCCGCTGAGCTTGGAACATGGTCTGGCCATGCATGTTTATGTGTCACAGGCACAAACAATGTCCATGACCACGACGAGAAGGCCGGGCCATGATTAAAAATTGTGCAAGCGTTCTTCACGGTGCATGGTGGATAAGAAAGGGGAGGGGGGCTGACCGAACCCGACCCAAACCCTGGCGAGTGGATGACGATAAAGGCAAAGTCGCAAAATCCAAAACCAAAGTCGTTCATTTTTATTGTCATATGAATGCGTAGCATTGCGGAGCGTTACCGAAGCAGCGTCTGGCTCAGCTGGACTCGTGACACGACACTCACGAAACGCAAGCTCACAGACGAGCTGTCAAATTGGTAGCACAGCAGCTGCGTGACACGCGCGATATGAGCGCGTATCTAGATCGTGACACGACACCGATATAGAGTGCTAAGCTTTAGATGACTCCTTATTCTTCCACTTGCTGTCGCGTCTGCTTCCCCTTATCCGTTTTCAGGTTGTGCACGACTCACGCACGAGCTATAGAGCACTCAAGCAGCACTCACGACAGTCGCGACTTGCATAGTCTCTTGTAGCTTATTAGCTAATGTAACTAGAACACAACTGAAAGCAGAGCTAGCCTCACGAGTCGCAAGCGCTCATCTCCAGGGCGCAACCCTTTAGGTAACCCCCCGACCGTCCTCCTGTTGCTGCTTTGGCCCACTTGTCCGTCTGCATGTCTCGTAATACTCATTAGACATAACGACCTGCAGGCAGCTGCGTTCGCATGCTCAACCACATCCACATCCGTGCCCATGTCCAAGTCCATGTCTGGACTATCTGTGTATCTGGCAGCCCATCGGGCAGGCACGCAGCGCACAGATCAAAGCCGGGTGGCTGTGGGGCGGGCAGGTGGTTTGCTTGTTTTGTTGTGATTCGATTTGATTTGATTTGATGTGATTCAGTTTCGCCTCAAAGAATAGGAAGTGGCAGCAGTAGCAGCAGCGTAGGAAGCATCCGAAGAGCGCCACCTGGCCTATCTGCGCATTTCCACTATTTACACAGCTCATTTTATCTAGTTCGATTGGCAATTTATCTCAACTGCTTGTTGCCACTGACAGACGCACAGACACAGCCCCTTTACCTGGAGGGGCTGACCCACCACCGGTTGCCACCTACAGACTGAAACTTACCCGGATCCGGGCAAGACCAGCTTATAATTGGGACTGGTAACAAACACCGTATCGGTTTTTGAATCTTAATTTCTTTAAACAAAATCAAAGACCCGGTGACGCAGCCAGCTAAAAGTTAACTAAGCAACCGACCCCCTACCCCCGTTACCAGCACTGAATACACTAACGCGCCACCCCCTACGGAGAGGGGGTGGGGAGGAGGAGGGGGCAAGTCGCAACAAATGGAAATGTTGTCAAGCTTGAAATCCTTTTATAATGACAAAAGGTTTCACCTCTAAGCCGATTACGGCAACGGAGACATTCGGGTGCAACACTTCGCTTCAACCTGGCCAGAAACGAGAACGTAGCTTACTCTTAGGCACCACACCTGTTCCAAAAGAACAAGGATAGTGACACAGAATAAGAGAGAGAGAGAGAGAGAGAGAGATAGAGAGAGACAGAAAGAGAGAGGAAGAGCAGGCAGGCAAATGCGCATATTAAACTTTGCTGTATTCGTCATTTACTGTTGTAATTAGTTTTCGACAGCAAAATAAGTGAAAAGTAGCCCGTTTCTATAACAGTTTAATTACATTATGATAATAGTTATTAGAAAGCGACCTAAGCAACAGGTAAATAACATAACTAACAAGTAAGAGGTTCTAGTCGGGAGCTCCCGACTAGGGGATACCCTGAACCCTCTTGTTCCAACACCAAATGCCAATATATATACTATTCTAGAAGCTACATGTCAAGTTTGAAGACCAAAATTATACCCTGTTTACCCATTTTTAATGGGTATAAATAGATAACATAAAGGTTCATTGATAAGGTATTTGTCTCCATTTCAATAACTCTCAGCAAGTAGCTGATCAGGGAATCGCCCAAATAGTGAGAAATGGAAAACAGAATTTAAACTTGCTTTATAAATAGCTGGGATCAATACAAAAAAATGTTAGGACACACCCAGCTACAAAGCTAGAAAGGCCTCACCCATCTAACTATACTTGGCAGATGCCAATTTTGGATAGAGATCCAATATAGCCCGCATCTTGTATATGAAAATATTTAGGCTTTGCAATATTTTCAGTACAGCGGGCAGCTTCAAATTTAAAACAGAATTAATTTATTGTAATTTAAATAAAAAAAAGAAGTAAAACTAGATTTACAATCCTAACCTCAAGAAAAGGAGTTGCTTTTAGACAAGAACCGAATCAATAAATATTTTTCGGGCTTGCAAGGACTGATTCCATATATTCTTAAATATATCGAAACATCTTATGCGTTCTTTGAAATGGAAGAGTCAAGATTCCAAGCACAAGTCAATCGGACATCGAATCAGAAAAATGGGTTATTGCCATGCCGAAGGTTATCCGAGAGTTTTTAAATTTAATACTCATATCATTTATTTGAGAAAGGAGCGCGTCTAGTGTTTGGCAGCTGGTGAGCCAAACAATTGCCTGCGGTAACAACAGAAACATGAATTTTGAACAAAACTCGAAAAAAAAAAGAATCCAAGCAATTGCAGTGACCCTCGGTGGACGGATCAACTAAATGGACGAGGTCGGCTCATTGCCGGCAATGTCATCGGGCTCAATGTCACTGAAGTCCTCTTCAATTGCATGCGGCGGCTCGGAGGGGCTCTGGTTGAGGCGCTGGCTTAAGCTTTGGTGCTCCTGATGCAGCAGCGATAGGGGCGTGGCACGTCGCAGCTGCTGCGAATGATCGACCAGGCCACCCAGATCAAGATCGGTGTCCCGCATGGTGTGCATACTGCCGCTTAATGAGCTTAGCTCCGGTAGCCATGAGTCCGGATAGAAGTCCTCCTCTTGGGATGCGCTGCTGCCCAAACTGTGACCGCTCACTGGCCATTGGGCGGTGGCCAAGCCGAAACGCGCTGGATCCGGTGGTGGACTGCGGCTGCGTAGCCCATGGCTGGCGTTTTCACTCTCCTGACCCTGACCCAAGCCCTGGCCCTGACCCTGACTTTGACCCTGACCCAGTCCGATCGGTGGCAAATCGAAGCCCGTGGTGCGCACCTGTGTGCTGCCAGCACCACCGCCAATACGCAAAATGCCCGTGCCGTGCATGAGGGAGACATGGTTGACCAGGTTGTTCATGCGCACAGTGTCCGCCGAGGGCACCGCGATGCACAGTGGACAGATGACCGGCGTGGTGTCCCCGCGATGCTTGGCCTGCACGTGCTTGACCAGCTCCTTGACGGCATGACCCATCTTGCCGCAGAAGGGGCAAGTAAAGCTGTCGGCGCACAGATCCGGTATCTCCTCGCCGGCAAAGAACAACTCGCGCGCGGCCCGATCCAGCAGGCACTGGAACGGATGATTGCTGCTATGTCGTCCCGTCTCCACCTTGTTCTCATAGCACATCGCGCACAGATCGTAATTGGCGCAGCGCAGGCACTTGTACCGATAGTGGATCAGGTGCGTCTTATCGCATCCGTCGCATTTAACATCCCAGTGCATAGCCATTCTGTGCGACGGAGATAGAGAGAGAAAGAGTAAGAGAGATGGAGAGTGAGAGAGACTGAGAGAGAGAAGACAGGAAAAATCAATTAGCTACTTAGCCCCAATATATGTTTCTCTTAACTTACTTTACTTTTTTTTAGTTTTTTTTTTATTTTTATTTGTTTTTATTTTATTTTGTTGTTGTTCTTTGTAATTGTTGTGCTTCGGGTTGTGTGTTTCAATGTGATCTTTGAATGTCTCAATTAGAGTTAGAGTTGAATCACAGCCAACTTTGTGCCTAATGCGTCCGTAACACACACATATTTCGGCTGCTTCTTCGTGTTGTTGTGGAGAACACGAGCCAATCCCGAGCGAGGTCTATGTCCGATTGCCTTGGTATTTTCGGTTTGATTATTTATGTGAAACGCGAAACAGTTTGGCAAAGTTTCGGGATCGCAGCCCAGCAAGTAGTTGAGCTGCCCTTATCAAATGTGGTATGTGAGAACTGTGTTCCTCTAGTTAGATCTATTTTCAACATAAATAAAGCACAGGCCCATTCAAAACTGATTCGCAATCAGAACTCTTGGAGCAGAAACAAAAAACAATAAAACATACATTTTATTTTATACATATATGTACAGATATGCATGTGTTCCCAATATAAGGCACAGCTAATAACCAGCTCAAGTGCCATAAGTACTTGGACTTAAAATTAATTTGATTTAAATTTGTATATTAAATTTTGATGCGTGAGTACTTTAGCATATCTCCTCTTTATGCTAAAAATAAAAACAGCCTTTGGCAAATTCAAGGAATGTCTTTTCGCTAGAAAAAGTATCTTGTATATTTATATTAAATATAAACGCAGATGAAATTTATGTACATGGTCTAAGAAGTTTTTTGGTAAATTCCATTCGTAAATTTCGTCCAGCTAATTTTGAAAAATCATTCATTATTCATATAATTTATTTGAGACAACATTCACACGTTTCGCTCTTACGTAAAAATATGCAGGTCAAAGGTTGTAGGAGCTTTAAGTTTCAGACAATGGCACGAAATTGGGCAGATAATGTCGACATCAACCCTTCCTAAATCAATCCATGTTAAATGCAACTAGAGATATTACAAATATATATAAATATTCCGTAGGCGAAAAATGAATTAAAGCCAACAGCTCAGCTAATATATATATGGCTGAACTTCTGCTGAACTTCCAATTTATTTCAAATGTTTTTAAATTCAGGTATTCGCTACACATTTTTGTTTAATGTAATTCAAATGTTTTTGTATTTTAGTTGTTGTCGGTAATTTGCAAGCTTATACTTCAGCATAACTCAGCAGTTAGTTTGCATTCAGCACCCTTTGTGCAGGAACAACAGCAAGGATAAAACTTAACTGACTTGTTGACCGCCTTTGACAGCTCTCAACTATCCCATTGACTGGGGGAGGCAGTTGCCTGTGCCTCTGCCCTTCCCCCCCCCCCCCCCCATCCCCTTAGTCATACATCTTGGGGGCAGCGGGTCTTCGTCATGTGTGCATAATACATCAAAATACGTTTCGTTTGTTCGCGCTTTGTACATAAATTTCATGCAAATTGACTAATTAATTTTTGCGCAATGGATTCTTATCGTGCAATGCCATAGAAACACACGAGCAATACAATATTTGCATAATGCACAAGTGTTCGTGTACCCTTGTGTGTGTGTGTGTGTGTGTGAGTGTGTGTGACTAGGGGTTGCAGTTGAAAGGGATTCAGGATGCGCCTAAGCGGCGCAGGCACGTGGTGAAAGCACCCACGCTCTTGAGGAGGGCTTTGGGGCATGCATTTATTGGTGCTACTACCGCTGCTACTCCTGTTGCAGTCACTGCAGCTGAGTCAAGTGGAGTACACACAAGCACACACACACAGACACGAGCAGCGTACGTTGGGCCACAAACAACTATTTTAATGACAGATATTAAACATAACCACAACTATGGCGACTACGGCAACTAAAACCCAGCCGAGTTGCTGTTCAAGTTACGGCGAGGGGCATAAAATTTACAATATTTCCGTGCCCGTTACATATATATATATATATATATATATTGTTGTGTCCCGCAGGATGAACAAAATAAGAATGGCAGCAGGCAGCAGGCAGCAGGCAATCGCTGGGTTGCGCTCAGTCAGCCGGTTTAAGCCTGCCAAATATGCTGATTGCAGCAATAATGATGATTATGTTTGCCTGGCCTGCATGCACGACGCAAATTTGTTAGCCAAAGCGGAAGGAAGTCGAAGCATTGACAATGCCAGCGACACGAAACAAACAGCAGCAACAACTGCAAAACAGCAGAACAGCAAAACTGTTGCAGCTGCAAGTGTGCAGCACGACAATGAGAGGCAACAAAGGCATTTAACGACTTGCAAATGCGACCAACCATCCAATCGTCCAACCGTCCAACCATCCAAACGTCCAGACGTCCAGACGTCCAACTGACTGACTGACTAACTGACATATAAACAAATGCGATAGATAGAGGTTAGGTGAGGGCCAAAACTTCAGCTATGTGCGCGAACAAGTCGCCGCAAAAATGCTCTGACTGCAGCAGCTATTTATGTTTATATAGAGATATGCATAAGGAAAGATACATATTTGAGGTGCTAATATAGTTATAGATATACATACATTGATTTGTTAATACGCTCCAAATGTAAACACGAATTGGATGAGTAACGTGTTAGAATTTATTAAAGCTGTCGTTGTGGCTCTGTGTTGACAGCGGTGCTTTAGTGACGGTCTATTTTGTTATGCAACACTGCTATCGGTAAAATGTACCAGATATGCATATATATGATATAGAAATATGTAGATAGATGTATAAAGATGCATATTAATTTAATTCAAGAGCTCTAACAGCTAAACACATTTATTAATATGCTCAAAATGTAAACACAAATTTATTGAACAAAGCGCTAGAGTTTATTTTAGTGTTTGCGCTGACAGCAGCACTTTAGAGTTTTGCAATACTGTTATCGAAAACTGAGCCAGAAATATGGTATATTAAGATATATATTGATTTGATTCAAGAGCTTCAACAGTAACAGAGATTCGCACATTTATTTACGAGTTTCAAATGAGAACATTAATTAGTTTGGTTTATTGTTAAAATTCATTTAAGTATGTGTATTGAAAAAACTTTAGTTACGGTTTAATTTGTTGCGCAACACAGTTATCGAAAAATGAAACTCCTCTTGCTAGAGATGGGCCTAAATAAAAAGGAGTTTAAAGAAAAAGTATATAATAGGCGAGAAATAATGTAAGCAATGAGAGTAGCTAAAACCGATCTTAGACAGAAATAGAGTCAATCAGGCAGAATAAATTTTTTGAAGTCTTAGGACTTAGAGAAAAGTAGCTAAGACTGAACAGTTAACTAGTTACTAACTAGTTTTTAGAAGGCATTTCTTTTACTGGGTATATCGAACCTGAACCTCAGCCTGAACAGAAGCAACTTTTTTCAATGAATGATGAAAATAGAAAGAAATTTGATGATTCCTCGATTAGCCTTGGCACGGATATGTGGATATTCAGGCTCACGAACGAGCCATAAGGAGAGACTTTAGTTTGAAACTTAAACCCAACCCTGGCTTATATTTATTCCTCTATTTTGTAACATAATTATTATTCGTTAAAAAACAAACAACAATGTGTTTATTTTAAAGTAGAGATATTTTTAAATGTTGTATAAGCGAGCCCCACAGTTTGAACAGTGTTGAGTTATGCTGATGGGCTAGAGTTGAAGTTGTTTTTTAACCAACACTGCTTTAGAAACGCAAACTCAACCAAAAGGCCTGCAAAGTCGCGGCGCCAGTTAGAGTATTGCACGACCCTTGGCCTTCGGGCAAATTATTGCATTGCGTGCGGAAAGTTTTGAAGCACCTGCAGCCGAAACGCAGCCAACACCGGATGAATCGCTGCGGCCATATTAGCAAAGTGAATAGGTTTTTATTTGTAACGGAAATGTGAAAATTATTGCCAGTTGTTTGTTGCTGCTGCTGTTGCGGGTATTCTAATTGTTATTATGTTGCTCTTGTACTTGTTGTTGTTGCTGCTGCTATTGTTGTTGTCCCTAGCGATTTGCATAAGGCGCAGGCGACAGCGAGCCCAGCCCAGCAGAGTTGGTGCTCAGCTTGTCGCCGGAGCCGGCGTAAAAACATTGGACTTGCTGCCACAATAATAGGCGAGCTCTAGCATTATTTTACTTATGCCTATGTTTATGTGCGCCTCCGCAAGTTTATTTATTTATTTACTTTTTTTGAGTGCTAAACTTACCCAAATGCCAAGTGCCGTGCGACGATCGCCGAAAAACAGAGCTGGAAAGTCAACTGAGGTGCTGAGAAAAGCTTTTGCCCTGTGCCGGTTGTCTTCAATGACGTCAGGTGGCAACGCCAGGGCAAAGCTGCACGTTGTGCGTTCATGCGTATGTGCGGGAAAAACTGAAAGTGTATTTGCATTAAAGTAAAAATTAATATCTAAGTTTGCAGGCACATAAACGATCTTCATTGAACTTTCTGTATTATGATTTTAATTGGTTAGATTTAATCATATTAATTAAATTACAAATTGGAAGGCTAAGGTTCAGTTTCCTCTACAAAGTCACAGATCTGAGTGAATACTCAAGAGTTTTTATACTTAATTAATTGCTGCATCAATTAGTAAAGGGAACTGCAAGTCTGCAGCAAAATTATCGCTGGCGTAAACGATATTAATCGCCTAACAAGCCAAATTTCAATAGAGCTCTCGCTAATAGACAGTTAGTTTCTTCTTAACTTTAACTTTAACATTATTATCGATTTGTTTTTATCGTTTATAAACACTGCTGGAAATTTCAATCATTGACAAGTGAAGTTGTATACCAAAATGCATTTGGTTCTGCATATCTGCATATTTATTTTATGCACAATTGGAAATATAATAAAAGAAATGCATTAACATTAGCATATATTGAAGAACAACAACAACAACTTACCCTTAAATAAAACAACAGCGCCGATAGCATAACGACTATCGATATATGCAGTAAAAGCCACTATCGATTGTCGTCTAGCATTAAAGCTTAGAGCTTCTAGCTCTGGTGACAGAGCGAGCCGTGGAACTTGCTCATCATGCAGCTGCGTCCGCGACAGCGTCCCTGGTGAGCTGGTTTTGTGGCCCCAGCTGATCGCTGCAGTTGCCACAAAGTATGCAATGCGAAGTGTGCGAGTGCCTGGTGCCTTGTGGCATGTAGCATGTGCGTTGGGCGGGTTAAGCGTGGAGCGTGCAGCATGCAGCGTGGAGCGTCGTGTATTATGCGATTGGCAATCGATGCAATGGTTGACATTTGGCCTGCACTTTGAGCTGTTGATTTATGTATGTGCCGGCCAAGCGTCTTGCTCTTTTGGAATTTAATTTAATTTATATTTCATTTGCGAGATGAAGCGCACCGAGTGGAGCCAAATCGAGTTGAGTCGAGTCGAGGCGAGGCAAGTCAGGGCGAGCCGAATCCCCGGGTCCATGTCCGTGGAGAACCACGTTGCTTTCCGGACAGCTTTTTATGCAAGTTTCCATTAACTGGCTGCCCGGCTACCCAGCTACCTTTCGATTCCTTTTAGCTGACGTGCAGTACATTAGTATGACACGGCCATTCGCCTGGCGAACGTTCAACATTCCGCATACAGCAGCAGCCTCAGTCTCCAGCGCCCACCTTCATCAAGATTGCAACGTCTGTTAGTTTGGTTTGACTCGGCTTGTTTGCCTAGCATTTGTCGTGGGAAATCAGTTTAATGGAAATTATAACATTCGATTACTTTTCAAACTAAACTCAAAACATGCGGCCAGTTCCAGTCACAACTGCCCGCCCCGCCAGCTCTACAACGCCACCAAATCGAACCGAAAACTAGGGCTCGCTGTTCTGGCCAAGATTACAACTGCTGTTGCTGCTGGGGGGTAGCCAGCCGTGAAATAGCAGCCCCACCTTGGACACAGTTTTGTCAAATGCCTATAAGCATGCTGCAAATAACTGGAAAATGCCACAACACACACACATGCACACAGCTGCAGGCACTCTATGGGTGTTTGTGTATGCTGCCCATACAAGGCACAAGCTTGGTAAATTTTTTATTTTATTTTTTGTTCGTTTCACCTTTTTTCGGCATTCACTTCCAGGTAATGTGGTTGCAAGTGACAAAACAATGGGCAGGTGAAATGGTCACTTGGTTCAGCTTCTGCCAGTTGAAAATCTACAAAAAAAGGAACTAACACAGCTCGGGAAATTGCATTACCTAATCATTTTGCGCTTGCCCTGGCAGCACCCTACTCTCTCTGTCCTCCTCTCGTTGCCTAGTTCTTAATGTCACATTCTTCTTTTTTTGCATTATCCCCAGGCAGAAGAGACCTTTCTATGTAGACTATATATATTTCACATATTTACAACTTACTTATTAATTACAGTAAGAGCATAAATACATCTATCCATTCCATTATCTCAAATATTTTGTTATGTTCTTGAATGTAATATTAAATAAATTTAGCATTTTCCTTTAATTTTTTTTTTTCTGATTGAAATATTGACGAAAAGAAAGTGGCTGATACCTAATTGACAATTATTAAAAATAATTCTTATTAGATTTTTGCACTTTTTTTACCCAAATCTATGAGATGGCTTACTATTTCCTTCCATTACCTAATTTTTAAAAGAACACGCTAAGAAGGTCTTAAACCTTCTTATCTTATCTAAAAATGATTTTGAGGCTAAAGGTAACCAAAGAAGTTCCTTGCAACCGTGTGTGGCGAATTTTTCACACATGCGGCTGGAATTATCCAAAACCCTGCCTTTCTGCGCAATTCCATCACCAACCAGTCAGTCAGTGCGTCAATCAGTCAGGTCAAACAGCTTCATATAAAGGGTTTATACATGCTCTATTATGTCATAATATGATCGTTGGGCAATCTCTGATCCGATCCTAGCTAAAGGCATAACGCTTTAATCCCTTTGGAGAGCTCGAGAGATTTTTGTACAAATGCTTATTTTATTTTTGGTATTTCTTGCAATATATTTTTTGTATTTCTGTGCCAACGTGACGGCTACGTGATGTGTCCTGTGCGCAGGCAACGGCTACGATTCCAGCTCAGACAAGTGTGTGCGTGTGTGTGTTTGTTTGTTTGCGTGCGAAGGTCACGTGGCGCGCTTCAATGCTGAGACTGGCAGGCAGGTAGGCAGCACAGCCAAATGCACTGGCAGCCATCGATGTCGAGTTTAATGAAGTGCAACGAGCGTCGAGCAATTGAAATGCATTGCCTGCTTTTAGGTGTTTTTACCTGACGGTGGAGACGGCGCCGACGACGCACAAATCACAGTGAAATTGTTATTGTAGCTATCGTTGTTGTTGCTGGCATCATCAAGTGCCGTTAAACATGCCACACGCATTAAAGCAAAATGCTACAAACACAACAACAAAAACAGAAACATGGACATGTGGCATAAAAAGCCCGAGCAACAACACGAGTGCTAAACAAACCAAAAACAACAGGCAAAAAAAAAAAAAATAACAATAATGAGAAGTAGTAGCAGAAGCACACATACTCACACACATTCACACACACGCACACACACCTAGACTTGGTCTTGGTATGGTATGGAGATACTACTGGCAATGCCAATCCGCGAACAAATAAGTGACCCTCCAGAAAACTGTTCCCACTGTTGCTGTTAGTTAGCTGTTACGCTGCTGTTAAGCTGCTGCTAGCTGGCAACAGCAATTGCTGGCTGCCGACATCGCTGCCTCTGTCGCTGTCGCTGTCGCTGCCGCTGTCTGCGCCTGCGCCTGCACCAGTGCCGCATTGGCTCGGCTTTCAGAACTTTTAGCACAGACGACACGAAGCTGAATGAGCAGCCGCTCGTTTAGGCCCTTTTTAGCACATGTCCAAGAGAAACCAGGACATTCAGCTGCTCGCAGCCGTTGGCTGTAGTTGAACGCCGCGGAAGACGCGGCGTATGCGTGATATACGCTCAAGTAGTCACAAAATGTGCGAAATTCTTTGCGAATACAATTATCCAGATGGAAATGCACTTGTCAGCAGTTGCAACGTGGCTGCTCGTGGCTCCTGCCAGCGCTTGATGCCACTTCAAAAACTTGCCGTCTGGCTGGCTGGCTGGCTGAACAACTTTGTCTTGCCCATTACGGCATGTCAGGCAGCGGGGCAACAGCCAGCAGCCAGCAGCCAGCGGCCAACACCCGTCAGCAGTTCTATGTTTATGTTGAGTTGTGCTCATTAGTGCAGCGTTTATGATGATAATTTGGATTAAGCAACAAGCGGTCAGGACCCAGTAGCTGGCACGCACACGGAAATGCTTTGCATTTCGCTTAACATAAGTCTCTTGCATCAGGCTCAATCGGATATGCCGGACAAATCCGAATTCAAATTAGGATTTGCATTTGATGAAATGCATGGGAATGCAACATTTTAATATGTGCATGCAAATGTGTAATGCGTTTGCCAATTATAAAATATAAAAATCAATTTATTCTACATTACAAACTATAAATATATGCATATAAACCCATTTCTAATTTAAAAACTTTTCCGAAAAGCTTTAGCCGTGAGCGCAGAGCTCAGCATATTGAAAACAAAAACAACAACAAAATCTGTAAACTTATTGAGCTTATTTCACGTAATGATTTACAGCATAATTTCCATTCTAATGACATAATTATAATAAAAAAATATATGCTAAAAAAAAAAAATTATAAATATTAATTTTTTTTTCTGATAACAAGTTAAATAAATTGTTTTGCGCAACATCAGGTCATTTAATCAGTCGTAGTTTAAGGCAGCTGCCTAAAACAATAATGCATACAAACAAAATTTAATTCAACTTAATTATGTTTGAATTTGTTTTTGCCTGTAAGCTCAGCGTTAAGCCTAATAGCAAGGCCAAATATAAATTATTATGGCCATAAGCCAGCTTAAATGACTTCTATAGATTGAGAACCGATAACCCATATTTGTTAAAAATTAATATAATGCTACATATTATTATAATTATTAATTTTCTAATAATTATTATCATTTTTTTAACGATGCACATGCACATACGCTACCTTGCTGCTGTTTTGGAAGCCCTAGTTAACATAATTGAATTAGTTCCTCGCGAAAATTCAAATTTACTTTACGCTCTGCGCTGAAAGCTGTTTTTCTCTAACTGCAGCTCTGGTTAGTACTTTGATAAGCCAGCGCTAAGCCCCCCCCCCCAAACACACACACACATGGTGTACACTTTTTGCTGTATTATTTGTGCTGCTTAAATATATATATATATATATGTATCTATATATATATATAAAAGAGCGAAAGAAAAATATAAAAAAAGGGGGAAAATTATAATAATAAATAAAAACGAGGCGCAGCGACTGGCAACTCGACGCAGCGGTTTCACACGCAATTAACATATTCTCTC